GCTGTGTTCCTGAGGTGGGATCTCTGCACCTGCCACAGTAGGCATGAGGGGGGAGGGGTATGGGAACCCCCCCACTCCCCCCATGGTGCACAGCCCTGGCAGATGGGGGGGGGGCAAATCAGGGCAGTCACCCCAGGCCCTGCGCTTTGGGGGCCCCCACAGAGTGGGGCAGAGCAGAGGTGGTGTGGAGTTGGGCGACGTGGCAGCTCCACATCCAGCCGCTCACAACCCCCTTCCCCACCACGGCCGATGTCGCCACTACCAATGGCGGGAGCAGCTTCTTCAGGTCTGGGACCTGCGGAATGAGAGTGGGGATGGGGTCCCACATGGGCTGATTTCCCCGGGGCCCTGCACCCCGCTCGGGTCAGCTCTGGTAACAGGGCAGGGGCATTCTGCTTGGTGCTGGTGCTTGGCTCCTGTTTGTTTCCCTAGTGCTCCCTGCAGGCACTGGAGTGGGCTGCGGGGTGGGAAGCAGCCAGCTTCAGTGCCTGGGGTTTCCCTCCTGTGCCCCACTTGTGCGGGGGATGCCAGGGAACAAACAGCCCAGCAGGGGCTGCACTGCTCACTGCCACATGCAGCACTGGCCAGAACCAGGCACAAGTGTGTATTGCTGAAGAATTCATTGTGTATTGCTGAAGATACACCAGTGTTCCCACCTCCTGCTGAGCCATGGGGGGAGTGTGCAAGGGGTCCCCACACCCTTCCCATCCTCCCTCACCCCACAAATGCCCCCCCCCACACACACACCAGTGTTGCCTGCACTGACTGCAGGAGCAGACAGTGTGTTCCAGAGCCAAACACTCGCGCCCCACAAACCACACAATCCTGCAACATAACTTATGCCCCGCCGCACACAGCTGCAGCTCCTCACAAACTCCCCCCACACCCCACCATACACACTCACACCCCCACCATAAATACCCCCACACCCTACCATACATGCACATACACACACCCAGCCACACCCCCACACACAATATACAAGACTAATAATTTATTTTTGAGTTATTATGCAATTAACTCTATATACAGTACACAAACACAAATCATGACACAAATATTTTTTGTAATAAAATTAGAATATGTTATAGTAGATGTCTGACTTTTAGCGTATGATTTGGTTTTTTCTGGTTCTAAGATGGCAACTCCCCCCTCCCAAAAGGAAAATTTCTGGGGAGGAAGGGGAGGGACTTCCAGTGGCAAAGTTCAGGGGTTAGGCTGGGACTTCCAGTCCCAAGGTGGTGACCAGGGGCAGGGCTCCTGTCAAGGGGCAGGGCAACCCATGCAGCCCTCGACAGCTCACCAAACCTTGTTAAGCAGCCCTCCACCCAAAATAATTGCCTGGCCCTGCACTAAATGGCTATTTTCCCTAAGTTTTTTAAAACGTTGCTTTCTGTGAGTCTGCTCAAGGTATTAAACAAACTGAATATGAATGGCTAAATTTGCAGTCACAAACAATAATCAGTTCTTGACAGTCATAGCTCCATGGTAATTTTTTCTAGAATACTACATTTCTTTTTACAACATTGTTATTAATAAAAATGTGTTCTTTATGGGCAATACCTAAATGCAAAATTTAGATTTCACTTACCTGCAAAAAGGGCTGGATACAGTAGGTACCATATAACAAATCCCACCATTTAAACAAAAAGATCCATAACTGGTGCCACAGAGTTCTTCATGATCTTAAAGAAAACAAAGAGAGATTTGTATGTTCTTCCTTGTATGCATGAGGAAACTCATGAATGAGAAAAAAATATACTACGATGTGTTGGGTTCCCCCCCCCCCGTTAAACTAAAATGTAGAAGATAACTGCTGGAAATACATGAGGACTCAATCTTTTGTAATCATCAGAAATATCTTTGAAATCTCTCATGGCTTTCATATGTGGAGAGTTTATTGACAGAAGAAGGCCTCTGTCAGGTTTGACTTTTAACACTCCAGAGGCTCAAAGCAGCTTTACTACAAGCATAACCAACTAACTGGAGGCGCTAACACAGGTGAATCCACAGATGTGGGTCAGTATGGGAACATAGAAAAGTAGGGCTGGAAGGCATCTCACAAGGTCATTTACTCGAGGCGAGATCATCCCTGACTAAACCATCCCAGTTAAGTTTCTGTGTAACCTACTCTTGAAAACTACCAAGGATGGAGATTCCACAATTTCTCTAGGCAGCCCGTTCCAATGTTTGACCACTCTTGTAAACAGAAAGTTCCTCCAAATTTCCAAATTAAGTTTCCCCTGCTGAAGCCTGAGGCCATTGCTCTTAGTTCCTCCCCTGCGGTCATGGAGAAAAGTCCATCTCCATCCTCTCTGTAATCACTTTTCAGGTATTTAACGACTGTTATCAATCCCAGCCCTTCCCCCTCCCTCCTCTGCCCTGCAACTACCCCAGGCTTATCTTCTTCAGGCTAAATAATCTTAGTTCTTTCAGCCTTTTCTCATTAGTCTTGCCTCCCAGGCACATGGCATTGGGGCTGGGGAGCAGAGCAGTTCCCTGGAGCCGGCAGAACAGTTCCCCAGCGCCAGCCCCAAGTCCCAGCCTCCATCCCTGCCTCACTCTGAGCAGCTAATCATTTTTGTTGCTCTGCACTGGGCTCTTTCCAAACTGTCTGCATCCTTCTTGAAGTGTGAAGCCCGAAACTAGACACAGCACTCCAGGTGAGGCCACAACAGTGCTGAATAGAGCAGAAAAATCACTTCTCTTGATTTGCAAGTAATATTCCTGTTACAACAACCCAGTATGCTGTTGGCGGGGGTTTTAGGCTTATGGTCCACTGTAACCCCCAGGTCCTTCTCTGCAGTACTGCAACCTAGCCAGTGCTTCTCCAGTCTGTATTTCTGCATGCAATTATTCTGTCCCAAGTGCAGGCCTTTGCACTTGTCCTTGTTGAATTTGTCTAATTGATTGTAAACTGTTCCTCCATTTTATCCAGGTTGTCTGGCCCTACATTACCCATCCTCTTAGCTATTAGGGGTGTGTGAAGCACGCACTATTCGATTTGGATTTGGCCCGAATCGGGGACAGTGATTTGATTAATTGATTCAGATCACTGTCCCCAGTTCAATTTGGCCAAATATGAATCTGAAGATTCAATGCTGATTCACAGAATCAGCAATTTGGACATAGACACAGCTTTAAAAGTTTTTTCTACATACCTTGAGGTAGCAGGCATGGCTCATGATCACTGCAATGCTGGGGCTCATGGAGCGTCCCACAGGAGTGCAGGGGGACCCTCCACGTGCTTGGAGGCCAACCCAGAAGTGGACCAGAAGTACTTCTGGGTGTGCCAGGGAGTGCGCTTGGAGGCCTCCCAGTGGCCCCCTAGCTCGGCAATCAGCCGCAGGGGGACCCTGGGTGCCTGCCCAGACCCAAGAGGCACCAGCCACCCAACTAGGGAGGTGCAGGGCCCCCCCTGCGCACTCGCTGGTGGACCGGAAGTGGTTCTGGTCCACTTCTGGGTCTGCTGCTGAGCATGCGGGGGAGCCCCCGTGCTTCTGTGGGACATTCCATGAGCCCCAGCATCACAGCACTCATAAGTCACACCTGCTTCCTAAAGGTATGTAGAAAAAACATTTAAAGCTGTGTTTGCGTCTATCTCCAAATCTCTCTGAATCAATTTGGAGGGTTCCGATTTGATTCAGAGAGATTAAAGGGTCCTCTGATTTGATTTGGAGATTCAGCTACCGAATCGCACCGAATCTCCACGGAATCAAATCAGGGACCAAAGCTTTGCACAGCCCTAATAGCTATGTAGTAGGGCAAGGAAAAGAGGAACAATTTGAGCACTTCTCTATTTTCTAGCTGTAAATGAACCCCCAGGCCTCATGTAGCTGGACAGAATCTGAAGCTGCCTTGCAGATATTCCAAACTGTATTAAGAAAAGCTGGCTCCATCCATCTTTGGCTCCATCCAGTTGACTCCATCCATCTTTTCATACTTAGTTTCATCAGGTAGTACTCTGATGCAGTTGAAGAGCTAGTTCATTAAGTCTTGCTTATGTAGAAAGTACAGTTTCAGATCACTCCAGACCATTATATTTGTGTCTTACAATTTAGTATCCAAAGGAAGTATATTTTGCTGTAGATTTTGTATCAGAACACTCTGGCTAGGGACAGCATTCAAAAAGCCAGAGCCTGAATTGATTCAGTTTTGTAAGTTAGTCTAACCAGCCTAGATTGAACCAATTTGCAAGTGAATAGACATTCAGGAAATGCAGGCACATAACCACAGTGGCTCAGGCCTGAAGCTGGTGGGGTGCGAAAGTGCACCCTTGGCTGCAGGGAAGCTGTGCTGGGGGGTGTAGCCAGGCCTAGTAGTAACCTCAAGTGAACTGGCCAGAGAGGAGATTTAATTCCCCCCTCCCTGTCCCACCGGTATGGACCCTAGTCTGGGTCCACCTGGCACTCCCCTCCCCCTCTCCCCTTGCTGCTCCAGTGACTGCGGGGAGGCCATGGCCAAAGGCTGTCCAGCATGGCCCCCTGAGGCAGAGGGGGCAGTGAGGGGATTTATTCCCCTCCCCCTTTCTCCCCAGGAGACTGCAGCTGCTACCCCAGCCACCTCTGATCACTCCCTGTGTGGAGCGAGCAGCAGGATAAGTCCCTCTTGCCCCCTTCGCCAAATGCCAGAGGAAGGGAGGAAATAATCTCCCTCCCTGCCCCCTCGTCTAAGGGTGCCATGCCAGCTGGACTGTGGTTGCACCCCCACCCCTGCCACTGGAGCGGCAAGAGGGCAGGGACTATGATGGGGGCAGCACCCCCTGCCATGTTTTCCTGGGAGTGCAAGCCTCTTTCTGGCAGGGGGGGTGAGGCAGTCAGAGCTGCTTCAGACTGTGCGGGGCGAGGGGTAGCACTGGGGCTCAGAAGGGTGGCTAGCCCCCCAAGCTCCCTCTAGCACCATTGCCCCTCACCCCACATGGTGTGCAGCAGCTCTGCCCACCCCACTCCCACCCATAATGCAGGCCTCCTACTGGAAAGAGGCTTGTGCTCCTGGGAAACCATGACAGAGTTTGCTGTCCCCTTCAGGGTCCCTCCCCGCTCGCTGCTCCATTGGTAGGGCAGGGGTGCAGACAGAAGCCAGCTGGCATGGCCCTTGTAGGTAAGGAGGCAGGAAGAGGGGTTTCCCCCCTCCCTCCAGTGTCTGGTGGAGGGGGCAGGGAAGAAGCTTATTCCACCTCTTGCCCTATGCAGGGAACAATTGGAGGCAGAGGTGATTGGGGTTGGCGGACCCTGGCTGTGGTCTCTCAGGGACAGAAGGGAAAATAAACCCCCTTCTTGCCTCTGGGGCCATGTCGGCTTGCCTCTGGCCATGCCCCCACCCCTGCCGCTACAGCAGCAAGGGGGAAGTGTCAGGCAGACCCTGGCTCAGATGCTGGTGGGACAAGGAGAGGGAAATTAAACCCCCTCCCTGGCCAGTTCCCTTGAGGCTGCTGCTGGGACTGGCCATGCCCCTGGCTCTGGAACAGCAAGTGGAGAAATGCCTGGCATGGGCTGGTGGGACAAGGGAGGAAGGAGGGAATAAACCTCTTCCATGCTGCCTTTGCTTTAGTGGGGCTGGCATCTGGCCACACACCCACCCCTGCTCCAGCTAGGGAACAGAGAGGTGGGGCCAGCTCTCTGCTTCACTGGAGACAGACGGTATATGATGAGATTATATAGATGTAGATAATGTGTATATACATACACAAGTTTATTTTATAACTCCTTACTTATAAAACTCCAACATTTCCCTTAAAACAGGAATAGAACGGGTTTGTGATATAACACATGATTCTCAAGTTTCTGATATCACTTTAGGTGTTCTTTTCACTGTTATTTCTAGCAGTATCTGAAAATGAGACAGCCGAATTCCTATTGTTTATGTATAGAAAAATCTGACTTAGTGGTTTATACAAAATACAGTATTGTAGAAATGGATGTTGTGATTTACATTTTTCATCTCTACTGTTTTGGAATAAACCAGTGTAGCCCAGTTGTAGCTTCTTTTTACTGTATTCATTCCTGTCATAAATCCAATGTCTATATTTAGTCCATTATTTTTTGTATCCAGTAGGCTGATGAAGTAAAGTCCATAGGCTCGTCATAGATAATACCTTTCACAGACGAGCCTATGAACTTCACTTCATCAATCAACTGGATACAAAAAATCATGGACTAAATATAGACATTGGATTTATGACACATTTGTAACCTGCCTGACATCTGACTTCCCAGGTAAACCCTCCACTTTTTACCAGCTATTCTCATTCTCTTCCCCCATTCTTCCTGTCTCCCATCCTTTGACTACAGCTACATTCATTCCCCCTTTCCTCCCGCCCCCCACCTGTCTCTCACCTACTTACCACCTCAATTTACATTTTAACTGACTGGCTTTCTTGCATAGGTACTGGCCTTTAGCTGCTTTGTCACTCCATCTAGGAAGAGCACCAACTACCTGCAGACACTTCCTCAGCCTGACAAAGGGTGTTTGTGACCGAAAGCTTGCCAAGAAGAATTTTTCAACTATTTGAGTTGGTCTAATAAAAGATTTTGGGTTTACCCAAAGAACCTTAGCTGCCAATGTCCTTAGACCAACATGGCTACAACCTACACTATTAAAAACCCATGCCACTGTCTTTTCTGCAGTCCCTTAAGCCATGTCTCCATTCCATGGCAAAATACCTCAGGAATTCTAGTTTCAGCCTATCTAGAGAGAAGGGGCAAGTTGGAGTGGGGCAAGAAAAGCAGCTCTTCAGAGCTTGCCACTATATTATACATTTTATGAACTAACACTTACAATGATAAGGAAAAATGTTAGTTCTCACTTGTTTAAAGTGTTTGCCAGTAAGCTGAGTCTTTACAGACTATCTTCCTACATCTGACCCAGTCAAATGTTCTGTTATAAACTCATCTGTACTTTTCTCTCATTCCAGTACAGGCAAATAATGATTTCCTCTGCTGTTTATTAAAAGTATCCACAGTGACACTGCAAAATGGCTCACACGTTTTATTTAATACAGTAAATATTAAAATATAAATTCTTACAATTAATATCATAAGCCATGTTCATTTCACTGAGATGGTTTAGACCAAAATCTAACACACAACAATCTTTTCTTTTCCCCTTTACAGGGCAAGATTTTTCCATGAAGTTTACAGCCAAAGATCCAGTGAAATACAAGTACTCCATGAAAATCAGAATGTATTTTAACAGAGCTAGGGACCCAGGTACATTAGTATAAGGGAGGGCGTAGTGTAGCTTGCCACTTTCTTAAGAGATTAGTGTTTTTTAGAGGTGCACAACCAGACCTGCCAGTTCATCTGGTATTGTGCTCTGCTGCCAAAATAAACTTGTCCAACCTGAATCGCTATCTTTTTTTTTTTCTTTATTTGGTTAAATGTGTATATGCAGCAGTTTGTATTTGGTTTCAAAAGACCATACTGTGTTGTCTTATAAGTGAAGTTAATACCTTTTTTAAATCTAAAAATGCAAATTGTATTCTGTGAGAGGCAAATATATGCAACGTTTGAATTTAGTATAACCATAATAGATGGAAAAGATTACTATGCGAGATATATGATGATGGGCAAAACATTCTCAAGATCAATCTAGATTAAAAATCAGTTTAAAAATAGATATTGTCAATACCTTTCCAAATTAATTTTACTGTAGAAATGCTACTGACCTATTAAATTCTACAACGTGTACATTTTTTTAATTTTGATAAAATATTTCACTTGCTGAGAGAAGAAAATGAGGTCAAAAACATTTCTGGAAGGTGATCAAAGAGTCTGTGTTATTGAACCAAGATTAAAGAACACTGAACCATTCCAAGTTAGTGCTCTAAGGAACTCAGTGTCAGAGGTAATTGCAACTTTAAGTTCTGTGTGCACATATTCAGGTCCAATGCATGCAAAACTGCTTTTACATCTTTGTCTGTATCCATTGAAAACTTTGGATCTGAGTGTCCTGTCTTTGAAAAAAGACAAACAACAACTATAAAATCTCTTAGTAGTACCTAGGCCTATCGAACCTTATCCACCGCTGCTGCTTACAACGTTGGTTTATTTGTCTCCAAGTCAAAAACTAAACCATCAAACACTGCCTAAGTTTAATATCCTGTGAACCAAAAATAAAATGATTCAAAATTGTTAGAAGACAGCAAATAAAAAGTTTACTTCATTCTTCTTCATTTATACAAAGCTTTGGGCAATATGCCAGCCAATCCCAATGTTAAAGAGATGCATTAAGATTGGCAATGTAATCCTTTCTTAGGGAAGCTGTAGGTGTTACTAACTGCCAAGTACTTGTCCATTGCCCTGGGTGTGGAGCTGGCTCTCGGGAGCGAGCTTAATAGTCCAATACCAGCAGCTGGAATCAGTGAACTTTAGTGAATTCTAAATATATTTAAACACATATTAATAAAAAATAAACTTACTAGAATTTACCTGTTCGCATATTATTCTGACGACAATTTTTATTCTTGGTCAAAGGCTATTCTTTTAAAACAGCACCTGAAGGGGGAAAATACATTTAACATGTAATTTTTAATCTCTCTTTTTTTTTTTTTGTGCATTCACTAGAATGTGAATTTTCCTGCTTTATACTTCTGGAGTTGAAGGAAATGTGTTTAGTTGTATCTATCTGCTGTTTGACTGTCAGATGAAACAGAAGTTGAGATGAGAATTAAGATTCAAGAAGGTATGAGCCATACCTATGGATGGTGATTTGTTTTATGAGGGATATACATTTTCTTGCTTCAGGACAGAAACAATCACTACCTGACAGAGCTACAAAGAAACTTCTCTTATTGGTTGGTCAGTTCTATAATTGTCTGTTGTAAGGTTTCTTGTTCTTTCTTCAATTTAAAGCACTCGGTATGGCCACTACTACACAGGATCTTAGTTCATTGGCTGCTCTGGTATTGAACTTCATATTTCCAAAGTTTCCCTTTTCTCAGTCTATTTTAATTCACATACTGTACTGTTTAGTAAACCTTTGAAAAAAACCAGAACATTTAGAATTGAAGTGTGGCTTACAGCACCATTTGAGAGGAATATGGAGAAATACTACCTCAAAGTGTGAGAAACAATGCCATCAGAGAAAGTTATTTTATATGTTCACATTTAAAGGGATTACAGTGTTGCATCATCCATCTGAAAGACTTCTTTTCCCTTCTGTTAAAAGATTTTTTTTCCATTTAAATAGCAAACCAAGGTATTTGTAAACATTAAAAGAAATGCCTAATACTGAATCTTTAGCAGGACAAAGCAAATTTATGTAAATTCCTGTTTCAAAAGACAAAATGGGTTTGTACTTACTGTATAAATGTAAGCAGATAAACCTGTTTTTCACAGGAACTTAACCCACTTCTTTACTCCTTCTTTAAGCCTCCCGTCCATGAAAGAGAAATCTGAAATGGCAACTCCCTATAATGCAGAGGTGTAATAGCAAGGTCTCCACCCAAGGGCAGTCCTCCTCTTGGGCTGTCTCACACATGCATGCAACTTTATCTTCATTAAGAGAAAATGCAGTAGCATCTGGGACCCTACAACCAAAGCAAACCAATCCAAACCCTAATTATGACTTACCTCAGAACCAAAATCTGAAAATGTTATATGAAAAAAGAAAAGATCTTGAATAGGTATACATCTACCAGTAGCCAAGATTTGTGTTGTATTCTAGCTGCTAGAAAGCTGAAGAATTATATAATTGCATCATGCAGTGTGGGGGAGGTTGAGACAACAGTGCCCACAGAAGCCAAGTATGGGCCCGGGTAAACACTCTTTTGTATTCATGAGACTGCTCACATGTTCACCACCAATCCTAGAAAACAGGTACTGTAGATGGTATTTGGCACATTACTAAGAAGGGTCCAAATTGCAATACAAAAAGAATGCTCTGTAATGAAAGATCTGATTTAAAGTAAATTTTAAGCAACGTAGGAAATGTTATTCCTAATTTTTACCTCAGTAAATTGAATCTAAAATCTTCTCTTTAAAATGTCCCACACTACCATTAAATACTTAAAAGCCCTAATCACACTAAATTTAAACAAGATATGTGACTTAAACTTTAAACTAATTCCTTTCCAAAATTTGATAATGGACCATCACTAGTGTGGATACCTTATTTAAATGTTTAAAGGAATCACCTGTCTAATTACTTGAACCCATTCTAAACATTCCTGTTGTTGGCTTACTAATACTGTATATTTGTTCCTAACATATAAAACAAAAATGCTTTGCTTAATACCTGTCAAACTTACTTTCTCCAGTCCTCTAGGTCAGTGGTTTTCAACCTATTCTCATTTGTGGACCCTTTTGGAAAGTTGGAATGGAGGTGCAGACCCTTTTGAATGGTAAGTGTGGGTATTCACATACTCTTGATTAATCATAGTCATCTTTTGTGGAGCCCTTATACATAGTCTGTGGACCTCAAAGGGCAGGGGGTCTGCTGACCACAAGTTGAAAACCACTGCTCTAGATTTCAACTCATGGTGATTTTTAAAAACATCCTGTATGTAATCCAACTCTGTTATTGCAGGGAGGGGAGCTCTTCACAATCAAATCAACTCTATGTGCCAATACAACATCTGAAGAGCTTGCCTAACTCTCCATTGCCTGACTCCTGTGCAATAGTTATGTCTATGCAAAGTAGGGGTGATATTTTACCATTAGAATTAATCAAGAGTTCTCATTTGGTCATCTTTTTACACTCAGTTCAAACAAGTGTAAATGACTTCAGAATAAATCCTTCAAACCTCTATTTTTTTCACCATTTAACATTGGGGGGGAAGGAGGGAAGCCCCTCATCTTTGATTTGAGTACAAGCTGAGGACTAGTAGAGGCAGGATGCTGCTGCAGCTCCAACTCCAGCCCTAACCTGGGGTCAGAGGTGGAGCACAGCCACTGTCTGTGCCCACCCCCTGCCTCTCACAGCCTCTGCCCCCAGGATCCCCGTCTCCTCCCTCCACAACTGCTTACCCTCCATGGCTCCAGCTGCCATCCTGCTTGGGCCCATGGCACAGAAAACATGGTTGACCTGGTCCCAGCCCAACCATGGCTGCATTCTTCAGCTTTTCAACAGCCAGAATACAACACAAATCTTGACAGCTGCTAAATGTATGTATGTTCAAGATCTTTTTTTTAATTCTTATATAATAATGGTCTTTGTCTGTCTGTCTGTAATGCTTTTGGAGCACTGTGGTTAGTGAAACAACCAATCAGAGTGTGGAGTGTCACCGTGACGGCAGGGACGGAGCAGGTGCTGGCCCCACCCCACCTCCCTGCTCTTCGGAGATGGTGGAGTGCTGCCATGATGGAGGGGATGGAGTGGGAGGACGAGCCTTGCATGCAGGCCTTGCCCCCTGCTCCAACTCCATCCCCACCATCATGGTAGTGCTCTGCTGCCTCCAAGGAGCAAGGCCAGGGGGAGGAGGGAGTGAGGCCAGCGGCGCTGGAGGGGAACAAGAGGATGGTGGGGCAAGCTTTCCCCACCCCCCCGCTCCTGGGAGGCAGTGGCAGCACGGGTTGGTGGGTGGCAGCACTCCGTCCCCACCCACCCACCCCACACCGCCATCATTCTTGATGGGCAATTCGCTAGTATATATATAACCATTTAGGAGGTAAGTCATAGTTAGGGTTCGGTGGTAGTGGTGGCAGGAGCTCCCATCCTGGTTCCAGCTCTGCTGCTGGGTTTGGAGCTTCAACTGCTGCAGTCAGGCCTGGCAGGGCCTCTGGGGGGAGTAGCCTCTGGAGTAGCCTCTGGAGTTGCAGAGGGTAAACTCTGGGGGGATATCTGGCAGTGGGGTACAAGCTTAGGGGAAGGCAGGAGGGAGAGGGGGAAAGTGATAGCAGGAACAGGTGCTTAGGAGGGGCAGAAACTGTAGGGCAGGAGACCAGCTTGGGTGGACAGGCACTGGTGGGGGAGGCAAGCAGCAAAGGAGCAAATGGTGGGAGGAGGACAAGGGGCAAAGAGCAGGGGTCAGGCCACTTGATACTCACCCCCCTCTCCCGTTGCCTACCTCTAGTGTTGCTTGCCCTGCTGCAGCAGTGGGGGAGATTAATTTAAGATTATGCTCCAATAATTAGATTCTATACATGGAGAATTATAACAAATTTATAAATTTTCCATGTATAGAATCTAATTATTGGGGGGGGTCATCTTAAATTCAAACTCATCTTGAATTTGCGTAAATAAGGTGATCATTTTTCTTGTCTCTCTCATTTTTCACTGGTGCCAAATACAATATTTTGTAAATCTTCAGTACATTAGTTATATAAATGGAACGTCACCTAGAAGCTTTCAGTTAGTTTGCTTTTTTATGACATTACTTTGATCTGACCCATTAAAGCACAGGACATCTCTGGTGTAATGCTATTGAAATTAATCAGGCTAAATCAGGGCTTGATTTTACTCAGATATGGTTTGGCTTCTGTCTCCAGTTTCTTTGTTAAAACAAGCAGGTACTATATCCCATGTTTTGGAATTGATCGAAACCATTTTTAATTAGATTAGAAATTAGGTTCTCTTTGACTTCATCTGGGATCTAAAGGTCTGAACAATTAGATCCACTCTTGATATATTAATTTTGCCACTGGCTAGCAAACTTTTTGTTTTTTATTTATCATTTGTAGTGTGATAGTAAGGGCCATGATAATAGTGTGGTTAAGGTGTCTCACTATAACTTCAGAGGCATGAGTCAGAGCCTGGTTCTGGAATAGTCCCAAAGGCTTATTGTAGTTGATCCAGATGTAAATTGATATCTGGTCATTTTGGGTGTGAAGTCAAAGGTTGCCAGATGTGAATGTAAACCATAGCACTCCCCTGTATGCAGCTGTCTGTGGAAGCTAGCATTCTTTAATCCCACTAGGCACAGCTGGGCCATAGTTGACTGATCAACTCTGGAACATAAATGAGACCAGTGTTGGATGAATGCCCCCGCCCACTGTACTGATACTCTGTAAACACACATAACTAAGTGGTCCAAAATGATCCAGAAACTGGTATGCACTAGGCATACTCCTAAGCTATTTGCAAATATTTCACTGATGCCTATTATAGTCAAGCAATCTGGCAAGTCGTACTCGGTCATTTTCTGAAAGTGGAACCACTGTGATCCACAGGTACAGAGAAAGAGTTTAGAAATAATAGGAGCTACATTTGGGTGAAAAAAGGAAAGGGACAGAGCAGTGCAACGATTAGAATGGTCGGTGATAAGGACAAGAGGCAAGAATTTTTGTGGGTGATATTGTGCATTGGACCAACTGCATGATTGGGATAAATTTAGACAAGTTATCAGGTATTACAATACCCTTCCTTGGTCTCAGGGTCTCCAAGAGAGAAGCAGAATATATTCCAAGATGTTACCAAGTTTATTGCATTAAGGCTGCAGATTTTCTCACCCTGTTGGAAATTTTGCAAATTGCAGACTGTTGTGTAGAGATTTAGAGAGAGTTTAAAGAATATTATGGGACTTGTTTGTTCCCTAGCTATAGGGACTTGCACAGCC